ACACTTTTCTCACCACTGCTTTGGGGTACTGTAAGAGGGTCATAATGGGTACATTATAAAAACAGGAGACTGGTCGTGTTAAATGAGGTATACTGGCCTGAGGTGGAAAAGAGCTACTAAAACAAAAGGACTTTGACAACTTGCTTCCAAAATCTGGGAAACACGGGGCACAGATTCATTTCTTACAGCTAACATGAGGTTTGGTGCAGCACAAGGTCTGGATCCAAAATCCACACAAGCCCAGTCTTCCCCCGGACTACATAACTCCTCCCGAATGCAGGTGGCTGGGCTGGGGAAATTATCCCTTTGTGGATAGTTTTCAGCACTGCTGTCCCCACAGCATGAGTAGATCAAGTGCCATCCAAGGGTGGGAGACACCCTTCTATACTGGCCCTTCAGGCTTTTCCCACCTTTGTATCTTGCCAGAGGCCTCCCCTAACAAAGCTGAAGGCTTTTCATAACCAGGGATGCAGTCCAATGCCGCAAATACCACTAAAGCAGCCACAAGAGTGACTCAGCTCCCACAAAACCTAAGATTGCCACAACCAATTTTACCAGTGCCCCTTGGTTGTCCTGCAGCCACAAATCCTGTCCTGTTGGACTCTGTTCATCTCAATATACCAAGATGAGTGATGATCTTCCCACACTGGTCAGTGAATGATGAGTCACAGTTTTGTTGAGCTTTTTCCATGCCTTATAGAGTCTTTTGGGATCTCCAATGCATTCCAGGTACTTCATTCTAACAGGACTAAACATAAAATACAGTATGCATTTCCGCAAATGTATTCTGCAGTTTCCTTTGTGTGTCCACTGTCATAAAACTGATGCTTAGTCTTAGCTCTTATCTAGGTTATTCATACAGCTGAAGAACCAGGAAGTCTATGCCCTTCCTAATGAGCTATTTGATGTGAATCTTATTTTCCAGGCTATGATAAAGTCCTATAGTGAATTGAGCGTTTGCAAGTGTGCCTGGCAGATGATGATCTGTCTACATACTTGTGTAGCAATATCCTTGTGGGCAATATCTTAGGCTGCTGAAGTATTGACAACAAAGTATATTTTCCGCATTCAGGGTGATTTACATGGAGCTGCCCCAACCGCATTTTTTCCCTTTTAAAAAAAAAAACAGCAATGGCCTGTAAGATAGCTTGGATTAAGAAAGACTGACCAGTCCAAAGTCAGCCAGTGAGCTCCAGGGAAAAGTGGAGACCTGAATCTGGGTCTCCCCATCGAAGTCGCATACCTTCGGCAGTACAATATGCTGTCTCCTATACATCATGCCCCAAAACAGGAAGAAGTGTTTCCAGCCCATGCATCCTCTCCTGCAGCTACCATGCCTCTTCACCATACTGATGATGGTGATGGGTGTCTGGGCTTTAGCACTGTGACCTGAGACGTTGGGGCTTCTGGACCCAGCTGTCCTCTCACTACAGGGAGCCAGTATCCTCTTGGGTAAAGTTGAGAACAAATCACCTCCAAACCAGAACAAGGAGTGCATGTGATACCTCCTGCTGAGCTCTAGGCCCTATGTCTTTTTTTAACATGTGATTGGCTCCAGATCAGTCCAGAGATATCTCTAACCTGGGGCCAACCTCCTTCCCATCTGCAATGATGGGTTGCTACCTTTGTGGGGTGGACAATGGGAAGTGGGTGGAACCTTCCACACAGAGAACTGTCTGGTTCCTAACCCTCCCATTTGATGGCCCTCCCAGGATCTTTCTTACCTGAAGAGACTGGTGCCTAGTGGGCACCTTTGTATTCCTTCAGCTCTTGAACCAAACCTGCTCTAGTGCTCCCATTTTATGGTGGGGAGGCCAGCTGCTCCTAACTCTGGTTGCTGCTCTGAGCCCACCCCATTACTGAGCCCAGCATTGTTACAGATTTGATCTGCTGGCAGCAGCCCATACAGCAGCTCTGATTCACCTCTCTGGCAGAAGCAACAGCAACCTTCACAACCTGGTGATCAAAACTCTGTAGCAAGAAACCAAACTGGAAAGGAGCAACCAAGTAAAGAAGTCTGAGTTCTCCTTAAATGTAAAAAGGAAAGGCTAAAGCGACAGCATAAGAATTCAGGCCAATTCCTTTGTTTTCAAAGATCACAAGCACACATACTTAACACATATATATTATTCACAGTGGAAGGAGATGCATCTGGTTGCTTCTGGGAATGTGAGCCAGCTTGCACTGGGCAAATGTTTTCATAACCATTACCAGTCTCTTTACCTTTCACATGGCTGGTGATGGTGCTGATAGTAGCAGTGATCCAATGGCTGGCCCAGACGATCAGGAGGATGAAGCAGCTCCTTCCAGAATACAGACATCATCTTCCTATTTCTCTATTGCATATATTCTACACCAAACATTAAAAAGAGGACATCACAGGAATTTTCCCTGGCTTTTATGGGCAGGGAGATTGCTTTCAAGCCTGCACCCTGATTGACCATCCCTATCCCAGGTGCCCCCAGGTCCCTCTAAGAAATTTCCTTCTAGCACATTGGAGACCATTCCCCTTCCCATGAGTGCATTATCATGCCCACTCTCTTTATGCCAGCCAGGCAAAATGAGATGGCTTGGATTGTCTTCTGTGAAACAGGATGTAAAAATAGGTAAGAGCATACAGTACAGCTTAACAGCAATGTATTATTTATTGTTTCATGTTTTATAGAATACATTTTAAAATGTTAATTTCTCATGAAATGGGGGAGGGCGAGGAACTCTGACAGGTTATTTCAGTTATTTTACCCTAGAAAACAAAATTAAAAAATTAAAATGATTTTGATGCAGTTTGATCCAATGTAAGTCTATTCAAACCTCCTAGAATTGTTGAAGCTATCCAGATCCAGATAGAATTGTGCGCAGTTATAGATTGTTAGAACTATAACAAGGGACATCTTTGTAGCAGTGAAATAAACCCTGTAGTGGCCTTGTTTATCCAGCTGCCATTGAATTATTCTGGATTACTCCTTATTATTGCTGAGATTATTTCCTCCTGCCTCCAATAGTCTTTTCTCATATCCTGGCTCTTGATTTCTGGATTACTTTTGACCACCTCTTACAGCAACTTTTCTCCAACCTGAATATGTGTGCAATCTGAATTCATATTCACGTATGGGTGATGATGCTTGAATCTTTACACATCAGAAAAGTGCCAACTTGGGGAGGATTGCCATCTTTAACTTCTCTGCCTTAAGGATTTTTCTTACTTTGTGGAATACACGATTGAAGGAAATCATAGCCACAAGCTCCTTTGTTCCTGGTCTTTGTTCCTGACATTTGTCTAATTGGTTCACTCATGAAACATCAACCCCCTTCAAAGCTTACAATCCTGTTTTCTGAATATGAATTAGTCAATATCACATATGCGTCATGTCTTTTCTCTTCCCCACGTTTAGAACATTATCCTTTGTACTTCAGAAATCAAAAGGAAAAACATTTACATGAATCAATTTTCAGACTCTACTCTCTTGCTATTTGTGGGTCCGTGCAAATACATATGGGAGGTTTCAGACTGAAAGGATATGGCATAGATGCTAACATTTCATTTTATTAAACAGATACAAAAATGCTCAGAGAAGAACAAAGAAAGACAGCCACTTCTCTTCCTTGACATACTATGCTGGATTGAGGTGCACAAATCATTGTTAAAAGAAATTTAAGATCTGAACTGAGACAGGGATCGAACTCTGTTCGTGACTTGAATGCTAACACTGCATACTCATCACTGTCGACCAGAATGGACAAAATGGCCAGCCTGAAGCACTATTTGATGTCATTTTTTTCCTGCAAAAATGAGAAAGATAAGTCATTGACAAGTTGCTGTAACTAGTAAAGTTAAAAGTTGCATGTTCTCAGCCTTTCTGCCACAGCTCCTGACTTTTGATCAAGTTGCCCTTATGCATCTTTGAAATAACATAATTTTCTCTACCCCCTCCCTCCTTCTTTCTTTCTGGAAGCAATTCATAAACCAGCTTGCTAGATGGAACCCCTAGACATTGTCAGATTTATAGAAAATGTCTAATAGACAAGTTGCTCACATCACAAATGATGAAAATTATAGTATTGTTAGATTACTACTACCAAAATGGGAATCACTGTAATTGTGTTCTGTGAAAGGATGAAAGTTGGAAAAATGTTGACTAGTGCCTGTGACCATAATGGAAAATATACTTTGATCATCACAGACCAACCCCATGTTTTTAAGGTCTGGGATTAGCAGAAAGGAGATTGTACTGATGGAGCAGCATCCAAGCTTTTTAGGCAAAGAGCTCAATCATATTGTGGAGAATCCATACTGGGGCAGGGAGGTTTTGCCTGGTCTGTCATCCTACAAGTTTAGAAGACCCAAATACAACACATTGTCAAAACTGGTTTGTGGCCTTTTACATTTCTCCTACCCAGGGTATCTGCAGCATGGGGTGAAAAGGTTAAGATGGCAGCTGTGACGGTGCAATCTAGGCATGTTCTGGTTTTTATGTACATTGATTTTTTGACCATAACCTGCAGACATCCCTGCTCCCCCTTGACATCCATTTTGTGCAGGCTTTGGTTGCATTTCTGCATCTGACAAAGGTAATTTTGTTTTACCCATGAATGAATCAGCCACCATTGCTAATTCAACGTGCAAACCCATAAATAATGTTCAAACAACATGTTAAGCCTAAATTAAGCAAGCCATAATATGGTTCAGAGCAATGTGTAAACCCAGCGACTGTACTTCCTCCCCTAACTTCGGGAGGAGATGACACTAACATAGCCTTGGTCGCTCCACCGCCTGACCCCGATCACCAGATATATTCAGGGATAGAAAGAGACGAAAATTAGGGTAAAACTGGAGGGCAGCAGGAGAAAAAAAAAATCTGTTCTGCGATGCCTTTCGGAAGCTGTAGTTCTTCGTCAAAAGTTGGCTTTGAGTTTCTCCACCAGAAGGACTCGATTTCCCAGGATTCCGTGGGAAGCCTATTACCGTCACGTGCCCAATCTTGGGGAAACTAGAGCCGAAATAGGAGGCGTCGGCCATTTTGTGGGCGAGCGTCGCTGTTGCTGTTGTAGCCGCCGCCGCATCCCCCATCCCCCCCCCAGCCGGGTCTTCTCTGCCCTCCAGGTTTCGCCGGTTGTTTGCATTTTTCCCTTTCTCCCCACTGCTGAACCTGAGAGAATCCCGGGCGAACCCAGCCGCGGCCTTTTCCCCCCAAGCAGCGCCCAGCCACAGAAGCGCATGTCCACTATCCAGAACCTCCAATCCTTCGGTAAGAAACGGGGCCCCCTTTGTCCCTCATCTTGGTGCCAGAGGCCGCATCGGCACCGGCTGCGGCTTTCCTTCGGGGGGAATTATTCACGGCTTGGGCTTCCTCGCGTTTCTGCTTCCCCAATTCCTATTTACACTTTCCAGCCCTTTGTTAGGGACGGTGCCGTCATCGGCTCTTTTCTCGGTTTCCAGCCTGCTCTAACCAGTGGGCTGCTATTAGACACCTCTCTTCCCCTTCGTCCTTTCCCAGACCTGTCACCGCTGGCCTTGAGCCTCATCGGGACGAATGCCTTGGCTTGGCCGCGGGGTTGACCATGGAGGGATCACGCTTCTGCAACCCCTGCGGGTGTAATATGGGCGTAGACGTCTAGTCTCCAACATGTCTTGGTTGAGAAATAGGGAGCTGTAATGATCACTGGCCTGAAAGCCCGCCTGCCTTCTCCTCCCCATGGCAAGGAGTTAGGGTTGCCACTGATGAAGCAAGACATCTTTCTTTCCACTGCCCAGCACCCTTAGGAGGAGGATGCCAGACTCCCTGGTTCCTCTTATGACATGCTAGGTGACTGAAATATCTGTTACTTAAAAAGTTAATTAAGAACTTAATCAGCCCTTTTGTGCTTTCTTAGGGTCTTAAGTTTTAGTGACATATGAGACATCAAAATAGACCAAAATGAATGCCACCTACTTTTTTTTCTTTCTTAAATGCGTATGTTTTCCCTGACAAATTACACTCTATTAACTGAACCAGTAATTGTATACATGGCTGATCTGATATCTAGATTTTTTAGTCTTAACCTTATTCAAAACTGTTTGACTTACTAAGACTTGGTTGTCAGTGAGTTAATACTATCTGGAACAAATCTGTTGGTAAAATATCTGCAGTCTTTTTTCAGTATAAAAGCTAGCCCACCAGATAGTATCACACCCACACCATTGCATACCATTCTTCTTTCCATTGTAAGACAGACACATTTTGATTTAAACTCTACTGTGCGTTATTCCATATAATTTTTACAACTTAACTGGTAAACCATTTTCTACCTGAAAAAATTTGAGGAACTTGGTTTGATTTCTTCTAAGGTAGCAGTCTGTTCAGATCTAGTCCCTCTTGAATTATGCCATCATAACTTACTGGTAGAAAATAAAGATTTTCTGGTTTAGAAGATTTCTGATCTCTGGTTTAGAAGATTTTTCTAGAATGGAACAGAATAGCATATGATTTTCATTGCTTTAGAAGAGTACATTTTTCTTGCCATTTCAGGGTTCTTTTTCCTGGTATCTAAGATGTTTAGCAAGAGTTCTTATGTTTCTTCTTGCCTTGATATACTCAGCCCTTGTTTTAGAAAAAGGATGTTCTGCAGTCTGTGTTACAGCTGGCAGTTGAATACAGATCCTTCAATTTTGTACTCAATTTCTTATGCAGTTTCAGCACCCAAGTCTCTTGAAAGTCAGTGTTTGGGGAGTAACTGTTTTAGCTAGTGATTTGTACATTATAACTTACCAAATGGCAGGGATGGAAGTATTTTATTAGGGGAGAACATTGTGAAGACTGAAGGGTTGCTTTGGCTCAGTTTCTACAGAAGTGGCAGGGAACCTATAGGTGTCCAGACACAACTCCCACTGGCCTATCTAGAAACATTATGCAACTGCTAAGGAGTATCTGTAATATTTGAATAAGTGCAGGAAGCCTCTTTGGTGCCTTTGTGAACCAATAGTATATCATGAAAATGATACCAGAATCTTCCTTGGATAGTATGCAGAAATTGTACATTAAAAATTCTTCGAAGGTAGGATACCTTCTAGCTGGATGCTGGTTAGTCTAATATCAGGAATGCTGTATGTTAATTTTTCTCAGGTTGAGCATCAAACAGAACATTGATGGAAAACAGCTATATTAAGTAGGCAGTGAAATGTTTACATTTATATAAAAGTTGGTGGATTTGAGAGTAAGAATGGGCAGTGCAGTTTTTAAAGAAATCCTATTACTGTCAAAGTATCTGATGAAATTGTAGCTTACATATTACTTCTGGTAGGTTTTCTCATCAACATTAATAGCCTGCCTTGGGTATTCTTGATTAGCGTTTGAGTAAATCTTAAAATGAGAGAAAGTGTGTACTGGCCTATGATAAACCATAAAAAACTGTATCTGGGCTCTGACTTCTTGAACAGGCAGGCACCTGATCCAGGCCACAAGCTGACAAGACCAACCAATCAAAATAGAGAAAACACCATTCCCAACAACCAATTAATTGTTACATCCCAGGAAATCTCCAGTCATCAATTGATCCCCCCCGAGTTCAAATCTTACACAGACTATAAATACTGCAAGGCAATCCCCACTTCTGCACATAGGAAGGATTGCTGGGATGTGGGCAAAACATCTGCAAAAAACCTAATTAGTACCTCAGTATTGAACCGTAGAGAACCCAACTACTAAGTATGTACTCCAAATCTGGGCTGCTTCTCTTCTAAGGAATCCATATGAACAAACACCATCAAAATGCAAGCATAAGTGACAGTAAAGTTACGATTAGACCTTCATTTAGATGGAAGGTAAAGAGTTGCTATTACTCAATGCATTTTAGGGTACCAATAGCCTGTATCTCTTTACTTAGAAAATTCATGCTATGTAAAAACTCAATCATTTTCATTACATGGGTTTCCCCTTTTTCAGACCCCTTTGCTGATGCAACTAAGGGCGACGACTTACTCCCGGCAGGGACTGAAGACTACATCCATATAAGGATCCAGCAACGAAACGGCAGAAAGACATTAACGACTGTTCAGGGGATTGCTGATGACTATGACAAAAAGAAGCTTGTGAAAGCATTCAAAAAGGTAAAGTTGGTGTTTCTTGGATTTTGAAATGTTTGAGCTAGAAATGTCCAAACTGAATATACATACATTTATATGCATACATTTATTACGTAGATTTTTTTAAAGTACTATGATGTCCTGAAATTGTGTTATGCCAATATAATAATGTTTGTCTCAGACAGCAAAGACAGATATTAAATGTTTTCAAAGAAACAACTGACTCCCAATTGATTTTTTAAAACTCTTTTGTGCAGTCATGGTGATAAAGTTGATATCATGGCGTCTCCTAAAACTGCCACATTTAGGAAAAGATTAAGATCCTTTAAAATGAATCTAACCCTTACAGGTAGAAATATTGCAAGAGATAATCAGAATTTAATATCAATTGTTCCTGGAATATTCCTCAATGTGCTAATCTGCTTTTTTGCTAGTAACAGTTATTTCAGGAAAATGTAGATTAAAAACAAATGTTTAATATTCAGTCCTGCCTTTCTTTCAAGATAATGAGTAATCAAATATATGAATGAACTGAAGTGGAAGGTAAAAAGATGTAATGTGAAGGCTGCTTGGAAGATGCCCAAACTATATGAAATAGAAAGAAGTAGAACAAAGAGTACTGCACATAGCTAATTAGTGGTAATCAAATGTAGAACTATAAAATGCTAGTTACTGGAAAACGATAACAAGTTATTTGGGGCGGGTAGCTTAGTTCAGAACAATTGTCTTAAATATACTGGTCCCTTGGCAAGATCTTCATTAGCAAAATTCAGTTGAAAGTTTAGAGCTATGCCTTATAATCAAAATTATATGGAATACTGCAAATGGGGGGCCACTAAACCATACATAAGGATCCCTGTGGGCCACATATTGACTTTGAAAACAACACAGTTATATATTTCTTCTTTTATGAATGCATCAACACAACAATCAACTAGGAACTAGATATACAGTTGCAAGAAAAAGTATGTGAACCTTTTGGAATTTCATGGTGTTCTACATTAATTG